CGGGCCGTGCGGTCTCAGGTGGAGCTCCAGGAAGTCAGCTTCGTGGAGCCCTGTGAGTCCTTCTAGGGAGGCAGGCATCAAGCTCAAGGGTGCCCCGCGCCCCCGGAAGGCCTCGGCACCTGGGGTCCGGCCCGCTCCGGGGGGGGGGGTGTCTCTGGGGTGCCCGCTGGCTCGTTGGAGACGCGATACCCTCGGACACGGAGGGGGACCGGTTGCACGGACTCCCTCTCGCCTCGCTCTCTGGTCCCCGAGCCTTTCTCTGCCTCTTTTTTTTCTTCTTTTTTTTTTAGCGCCAAACTGCGTGCCGCGAAATTCAGATCTCCCGCGGAAAATGCCGCGCTGCGGTTGGCCGCTGCAACATGCACAGGCTCCACCCCCCGGAAAGGACCCGTCCCCAAGGCGGCGATTACAACACGGGCTTCGCTGCTTAAAGGGGCCGCCACACCTGCTGTCGCCCGCCGCCCGCTGGGACTAGCAGCCCGCGAAACAAACTGAGAGGGTGGCTCTTGTGCAGTGCGGAGGCAGCCAGAGCAGCGCGCTGAGGCATGGGCCCAAATTCCCTGGGGGTGGGGGGAAACATTTTGGCGCGGAGTCCTGACCTGAATCCAGGCCCAGGAATACATCGCCCAGGCCGCATTGTTTGCATTCTTGCTTAACTAGCATGTATGCATTTATATACTTTTTTCCCCCCCGCTAAAAATGAAAGCCAGGAATCTGTTGTCTTTATTGGTAGGGGGGCGAGGGGAGGAGCCTAACATTTGTACTTCTTCATAGGGGATACTAACATCAATTGAGCACCTACAGTATGCCAAGCACCCTGCTAGGTGATTACATGTGTTGGTTTACTTAATTTAATCCAATCCTGGGAAGAAGAACGATGATGTTCGTGGTAAAGATGGAGAGTCTGAGAGGCTAGGTAACTTGCCCAAGGTCACACAAATTGGCCGATTTGAGACCGGGCAGTCCAATCCGGGACAGGCCAGCGCCTGAGCTCTTGTCTGTTCCAATAAAAGGTTCCTCCCCCACTCTCCCAAGCTGTGCCCTGCCCCTTGCAGGCACCGGGTGTGTGTGTGTGTGTGTGTGTGTGTGTGTGTGTGTGTGTGTGTGTGTGCTCGCGCGCGCGTGTGTGCGCCAAGAGTGCAGAGCTGTCTTGTTCACTGTTGTATTCCCAGGAGCACAACACTCAGTAAATATTTGAACATCTCCAGGTTTCTCCCTAGTAATCCTTTTGTCACAGGAGCCTCCCTTCCTCATTCAAAACCTTCATTGCTGATAATCCATTTACATTTCTCATCTCTACGGTCTAGAGATGCTGAGACTCAGAGAAGTGACCTTGGCTAGTGAGTGGCAGAGCCGCTAGAAGCTGCTGCTAAATTCCAGATCTGCTGATTCCTGCCTGGTGTTGTGTGATTTTTATGCAGTCTGACTTGGCATTCAAAGCCCTCCAGAGGCAGTCCCCAGCTTCATACATGGTCCTCATCCTCAGACTGTGAGGATGATGTAGCAATAATGCATGGTGGCAAAGAGCCCACACTTCCTAGCAGACAGCTCTGGGTTCAAACCCAAGCCCTGTCACTTTACTAACTGTGTGACCCCAGGCAAGTTTTGTCAACTCGCTGAGCCTGGGTTTTCTCATCCCTAATAACTCTACCTCATAAGATTTTTGGGAAATCTCGTGAGATAATGCATGTAAAGCTCTCAGCACAGAGCCTGCTTTATAAGGAACCTCAAGAAATGGCAGCTGTGGTTACACCTCTGGCCTTATCTCCAGTACACAGATCCCTTCACTCTAGTCTATATATTTCACTGGTCCTTTAAGACCCAGATTAAACGTCACCTCCTCCAGGAAGCCTTCCCTGCCTGCCTCCCCTCTCCCAGTCTGAGTGCCTCTTGCCCTCTTTGGACCCCTAGTGTGTTCTGCCTCACCACATGAAGGAGCCCTGAAGGGCTCAGGAGCTGGCCTGTCCCAGATTGGACTGCCAGTTCTCCAATCAACCAATCTATCTGTGTGACCTTGGGCAAGTTAGTTGGCCTCTGCTTTGTTTCCATGCCTTATTTATCAGGTTCTAAGCTCCCTCAAGGACCCAGTGTTATCTCTCTCTAAATACCCCTCAGCATCTAGGGCCTGGCTTGGCATGCAGAAGGTGGGTAATAAATATTGATTATATGATTTGCTCATCTTCCCAGCAAAGAGTGGCAGAAGTTAATGAGATCTGAAGTCAGGGATTCAAGAGGCCCAATTCAAGTTTCACTCTCCACTTCCTAGCTGAGTGACCCTGGACAGGCTGCTGCGCCACCTCTCCACCTCCGTTTCCTCAACCGTCAAATATGGATAATGCTTCCACTCAGCCTATTTCATAGGACTTCAGGGACACTCTCAAAGTGATGGTGGTGGTGGTGATCATTAATATTTACAGAACCTAATATAGGTTCTGAATGTGCCAGGCTCCAAGCACTTGGGCATCTCCTCTGATCCTCATAACACCCCTCTGAGACAGGCACTATCATTATCCCCATTTCACAGATGAGGAAACCTGGAAGGAATTGTGGCAGAGCAGGTTTGGGGAAGGAGCAGGGCCCCAGGGCCAGGAAGGGAAATGGGGGTGGCAGGGTGGGGCTGAGACGAAAGAAGGGAGCCAGCAAGGGGGCTGAGAGCCAGCTCTCTGTGGTAGAGTTTCGGCCGGCTGGAACTGGCTTGAGAGTTTCACTGCCTGGGAACTGACTAATTCCTGCAAAAGGTGTGGGGCACAGATCTGCGGTCTGTCTCCGTGAACTTGAGTCCCTGCCACATCCACTCCTAGCATGCGCTCTTGGTCAGGTCGCTGGACCTCTCTGAGCCTCAATTTCTTCATCTTTGAAATGAAGATGGCAAAAGTGAACTTTCCATTTACTGTGAGAATTCGACAAGGTGTTGGAGGTAAAGTCCTCGGAAGTGTGCATAGCAGGTACTTAGTATATTTTAGCTAAGATTTGCGTGGACGGACCAGAGGAGGCCCTCACATGGAACTGAACTAAAATACTTGCAGTTTTTCCATTCTGGTCCTACACTTCCCCGTTTCCCAGGCTTTGCTTACGTGGCTCCATATCCACAGGGCCCCTTCTCCCTTCCCTCCCCAAGCTCTCAAATCTGATCCGTCCTTCAAGGCCTGACTCAAACAGCGGAGCAGCAGGAGCCGAGTCTGAAGTCAGACATCCAATGAAACTTCAAACTCCTTGGGAGCAGCGCCCGTGCTTTGTTTTCACCTTTGTGCCTCCTCCCTGAGAGTGCCAGGCACACAGTAGGCCTGCAGTAGTGGTGATGGTGATAATTACTCACATTTCCTGAGCACTTCTCAGTGTAAAGCCCCCAGCCAGGCACTTCACATGCATATTATGTTGCGACCCCCCAACTGCCCTGTACCATGGGTACAATTTAGACAGATGAGGAAACTGAGGCTCAAAATGTAGAGGCACTTGACCAAGGGCTGGTTAAAGATGAAACCAGGATCTGGACTCAGACTTCTGTCTCCCAAGGCACTGAGCCATTTTGAACAAGGAACTCAGCCCCGGAACCCCACGTGAAGGAGGGTACGCTCTGCCGATGAACCAGGCGGTCCAGTGCCGCTGATGTTGTTGGGGGTGGAAAGAGTGTGCCCCGCAACTCGATAAGTGAGGGACACTTAGTCCCGTTTTCCAGATGAGGAAGCTGAGGCATGGGGGACACTAAGTGACTTGCCTGAGGCTGCACAGCTGGTGAGGGAGGAAGCCCCATCCCAGCCAAGCCCCAAAGCCCTGGAAAAGCCCCTAAACCACAGCAAACGTCCATTCCAGCTGGTGTGTCTCATCCCTGGTGTATCTCCTAAAAAATGCCTCAGATTCTCTCTGCTCCAAGTCCTATTTATCAAAATAGAAAATGCTCGACAGAGGCTTCCTGAAGGCACAGACCTCCTGTTCCAGGGCTCCCCAGTGTGTTACCTGTTCACATGAACCCCAAATCCGAGAGAAGCCAAATGGGAGCCATGGGAAGGGAGGGAGAAAAATCTTTGCTCCATCTTCTCTGTGCTCCTCTGTATAGTCTTGTGCAACTATTCTATAATAAGCATATATTACTGGGGCCGGCCTGGTGGTGCAGTGGTTAAGTGTGTGCTCTGCTTCGGCGGCCCGGGGTTCACAGGTTCGGATCCCAGGAGCGCGCAGACGCACTGCTTGTCAAGCCACGCTGTGGCGGCGTTCCAGATATAGTAGAGGAAGATGGGCATGGATGTTAGCCCAGGGCCAATCTTCCTTGGCAAAAAGAGGAGGATTGGCATCGGATGTTAGCTCAGGGCTGATCTTCCTCACACACACACACACACACACACACACACACACACAGCATGTATTACTGTGGTAATTGGAGAGAAAAATTTTGTATTTTTTTTTTAAAAAAAAGAAACAAGTTGCTGCTTCAGGAAAGTTCTGCTAGTCATAATAGTACTTTTGCTGGAAAATTGTTGGAATATGAGGTTCATGGGTTCTCTGGACTGGCACATAGTAAATACTATATGATTGTTTGTTAAATAAATAAAATTCCAAGCCCTGACAGTCTTTAAGCTGTGTGCTCTTGGGCATATCATTGCACTACTTTGGGCCTCAGTTCCCTCACCTGTGAAATGGGGCTGAGGGACTGAGCATGACTGCTTCATCGGGCTATTGTGATAGCTGAAGTAAATCTAGGATGGTATGTGAATGTGCTGTTTGTGTGTGTGTGTGTGTGTGTGTGTGTGTGTGTGTGTGTGATAATATCACCAAAATGTATTGAGAAGGTAAAGGATTTGAATGGAAATTCTCCAAAGAAGATATACAGAGGCTAATAAGCACATAAAAAGATGCCCAACATCATTAGTCATTAGGGAAATGAAAATTAAAA